TTACCGGGTTCTAAATGAACTCTATCAACTCAAGTGACCTAGACATCCTTGTAGACAGCTGGATGAAGATCTCTGCTCAATCTGAGGCTTAAAAAACAAACAAACAAGATGTTAGATTGCATAAAGAACAGAGTAGTAAGCAATATAGATACTGTTATCATGCCCTTATATAAGCACCTAACCTGTATCCTTTGTGCAGTGCTGATCACCCCCTCTCCGGAAGGATATTGCTGAATTAGAGAGAGTTCAGAGAGTTGGGATGAGAATGATCAAAGAACTGGAAAATCTTTCCTCTGAAGAGAGATTGGGATTGTTTACTTTAGGAAACAGATAAGAGGGAACATGATAAAAGTATATAAAATAATTATGGTATAGTGAAAGTAGGCTGGGAACTTATCTTCTCCCTGTCTGATAACTCTAAAGCATAAGGTCAAAAATTTCAACAAAATTAAAAAGGTATGACATGTAAAACTGATAAAAAGAAATATTTTTTCACACAGTATATGATTAAACTATTGGACTTATTGCCACAGTAAGTCATGGAGGACAAGAATTTAACAACATTCAAAAAGAGAATGGCTATTTCTATGGATCTTTGAGCGTGTCAATAGTATCCAGAGTTGCCATAATTCATGAAAATAAATTTTGCAGAAGAGATATTACATTTTCTGTGTTAGAGTTTACAACAATTTCTAAATCTGAGAGATTGGGATGGTAGCCAATATAGAGGACAGATAACTACACCAGTACCTCTCACTGTGGGTTCTTACATCTTCCTCTAAGGCAGTTGGAGCAGGACATTGATGAAGATGGGACATTAGACTAGATGGACCTTGGGTCAGATCCTGTCTGGCAATTCCTGTGACCGTATAAAGCCAATAACACTTTAAATTGCTATAGCACTTTGTGTTCAAAGTACCGTAAAGACAAAGTCTAATTTCTTACTAAGTAAGTAGCAGAATGTCTGTGGAATTAAATACATTTGAGCTTAGCACCAATCATTTTCAATACCTCCTGAATGTCAGGGCCTTTTTTTAGTGTCTCATTCAATTTTGCTTCTTGTATCAGCTCCAAACCTGGCAGAACAATTCAGACCAAGGGTTTTTTTTTAAAGCCATTGCATGTGGATATCAATGCTTTGATAACATCATGTGGGAGTAAACTTGTTCAATTTACCTCAGGTGAATACATCAGAGGGTGGTGTACTAAGAAGGATATGAGCTCTGCCTGGGGTCAGATTTTTGAAATCAGTTGTTTGTTTGCTGGTAGTTCTGTAGCCTGGAGTGCCACATGGACCTTTCTGAAAATCTGATATGAACACAAAATAAGAAGCTGTCAGCACGTTGTCTTTGGTAAAAGGAGCAAGACTGCAGTGATGACCTGTAATACACTGTACTCTGAGATCAATGACTGAGAGATGTAAAAAAGACGCTGACATCTAAGAAGAATGTGCGAGAATGGGAATTTAAAGGCCATTGGCTGAAATCTATTAGCCAAGTCCTTAAGTTTTTCCTCGGGGCCTGATTCTTCTCTTATTTAAGATGGTTTTACATCAGTGTAACCTTTTGACCATAATGGAGTTATTCCTAACTTACTGTTACATAAATTAGTATAGACTCAGACCCTCAGAATTTATTCAGTCCTTAGCCAGGTGAACTCCTGTTGACTTAAAGGGCTTGATTCTCTTTTCATAATAGTGTAACTTGAGAGTAATTCCTGCAACATCAACGGATTTACACCCACATAAAACTGGGGTCAGTGAGATCAGAATCAGGACAATGAGTTCAATAGTTAAATATCAGAGGGGTAGCCGTGTTAGTCTGAATCTGCAAAAGCGACGAGGAGTCTTGTGGCACCTTATCGACTAACTGAAGTGTAGGAGCATAAGCTTTCGTGGGCAAAGACCCACTTCGTCAGATGCAGGTAGTGGAAATTTCCAGAGGCAGGAATAAATATGCAGGCCAGGATCAGGCTGGAGATGACGAGGTGGATCCAATCAAGGAGGATGAGGCCCACTTCTAGCAGCTGATCTGGAGGTGTGAATTCCAAGAGAGCAGAAGCTGCTTTTGTAGTTAGCGAGCCATTCACAGTCTTTGTTTAATCCAGAGTTGATTGTGTCAAACTTAAAGATGAACTGTAGCTCAGCAGTTTATCTTTGAAGTCTGGTCCTGAAGTTTTTTTGCAGTCATGATTTTATAGACTTCTATCATAGCCCCCCTTAGTATCATCTTTTCTAAAATGAAAAGTCCAAGTCTTTTTAATCTCTTCATATGAGACCCATTACAAACCCATTTTTGTTGCCCCTTTCTGAACCTTTTCCAATGCCAATATATCATTTTTGAAATGAGATGACTACATCTATATGCTGTATTCAAGATGTGGGCGTACCATGGTTTTATAAATGGTAGAGTTTTCCTTTTCAGAATTGAGACCAGCTCAAAAGATTTACTGTACAGTTCAGATTTTGAGTGGGAACACTGAATTGTTTGTTAATGAGAACACGTTTAATCCAGAATCTCCTGCTTTTAGGGTGCATGACTTCACAGGTTTTTCTGAATCTGAGCTGACTACAACAGAAGACTTTTTCAATAGGCCAGACCTTGAGAGTTATCAAACAGCTGCTGAGCAAACCTGGTGGTGCCAGACCCTGAGCTGGTGTAAATGAAAATACCTCTACTGGTTTTTACCAGCTGACTTATAAAGGGATTTTTCCCATTGACTTCAGTGCCAATCCTTTAAAAGCTCAATCAGAGCGGTGGGTGCTTAAAATCTCTTTGGATTTGGCCTCTGTTAACAAAATAATTTTACCTTATTCCCTTTGCCCCGATGGCAATATTTTGGCAAAAAAAAACAATTAAAACTTCATTTTTTATGAGTGGCTGCATGGTATCAGCATTTTCACTCCGCACTGATAATACTGAACGGGCACCACTCTAATCAGTTAGATAAATAGCATACCTCATAAAAATGTTAAATATTTATCTGTCTGATAGACTGCAATAACTCTGCCTTTTGGGTACATAATACATATCTGATAAGTTTGTATTACCGAATAAGAGACTGGTTTGAAGCCCAGCCCATTGGCTGCAGTGGACTTTGGATCAGAGCCGAAATCAGTAACTCCAACAGGTGGGTCTCTGTTGAAGAGCTTGACCTTGGTCCTACTGGCACTGTTAACTGAGGTTTAAGTGTTTAGGATACAAAGACTGTAGAAAATATAGATATATTAGCCATATTTTGATGGTGCCCCTCTCTCCTATCTTTCACGTGTTTCTGATCTCCTGGGGCTGGCCACAGAGCAGCCAGAGTAGTCCTCAGTGTGAGTTAGAGTTTTACACTTGGATTCTATGACTCTGTGGAGTTGCAAGAAATTCCAGAATCAAGGCCATGGTGCACATGCGTACACTCAGAGGAGACAGCTGCGGCATTCCCTCTAGTCTAGTCAGAAGCAGAGGGAGAAAGTTAACTCCTTCCTGGCAATCTTTGGTTGAGATATACACATGCTATCACACTTTCCCCTGGGAAACACACACACGATGTTTAGTAATCACCAGCACCCATCACCCTAGGTTCAGAGCCTTACTTTAAAATCTTGGGACATTATATGCCTCTGAGCATGAGGCTGTCTCCTATCCTCTCCTCTGCAGGTGAGTACCTCTGTTTGATCTGCTCATCAGCCCATTCCCATGGCATCAGTTCCACTTGAAGAACTGGAACAGTGACTGATGTCCTGGCCTTAGAGCAGCAGCATGGAACACGCTAGCAGAGTCAATGGCTACTTCCACAGCTGCCCTCCAATCTTTCCTGATCCAGACAAAGGAGCATTTATGGAGCTAGTATAGATGATGCCTGTGTAGCTTGCTGGCCTGAAGAAAACAGAAGTGCCATAATGAGCCCTACTCAGCAAATCTCATTTTAGTTTTCCTTCCCAGCTCACACACCAAGGTATAGAACAGAGATGCTAGTTAGAAACATCCTCTTGTTAGCTCTTTAAGTATCTGGAATATACAGTAATGTTCTTTAATGTCTCGTTGGTAAACTGCTTGTGTCTGGAAAAAAGCAAAACCACAGCTGTGTGCTTGGGGAACTAGTTTAGAGCTGAATTTCTCTGAACTTTTGCCAAGCAGCACAAGAAACAAACAGAACACGATTTCTGCTGATCCAGCATCATGGAGTCTTTGCCAAACTTCCTGTGAGGACTTGTGAAAGCAATATAAAATCTGTTTCTGAAATGGACGTCTTGTCATCCTTAAAACAAGCAGTGGGAATAAAATCAGAGGCTGCTTGCAGTGCAATTAGCAGCCATTCGAAGGGTACACAAAACTTTGTGTAGCACTATGTACTTCTATAGTATTTTCCATAGTAAGGTTTTAAATATTAATGATTAAAATAGAAGTTTATAAATAATTAAAACAATAACTCTGAGGCAAACCTTAAAGTCTATGAGTCTATTTAACTGTGGGGTAGATGTTTGAGCTTGAAATCAAGGACCCTGTGAGGTGAGAGAGTCCAAGAGCTTGGGCTGCAGCTTGAGCCCCATGAGCATAAATCCTATGTCATGGGGCCAGCCGCAGTGTCTAACTGCAGTGTAGACATACCCAGCAGTTTGACATGTCTGAGGTAAAAATAAAAACAACAAATGGTCTGGTAGCACTTTATAGACTAACAAAACATGTAGATGGTATCATGAGCTTTTGTGGGCACAGCCCACTTCTTCAGATGACCGGAGTCTTGAGTTTAGGATGTGCAGACCCAAAATAAATAGGGGAGAAAAAAGAGGGGGGAAGGGAAAAAAAGGAAGAGGGCAGCAAACAAGGAGCAGGAGGTATGAAAATATCAAAGGGAAAAACAAGTAGGCAGAACTGGTAACCTATAAGCACCTAAAGATTGGATAGTTAAAAGAAGCAAATAAGGATCAAAGGATAGCAATTAGATAGGAAAGGAACTAACACAAGAATCTACACAAAGAGCTGTTGGCACCTTCATTGAATGTTAGATTAATAATGTCCCAGCCATCCATTACCTCGATTGAGGAGGTCATCAGTGTGAGAATTGAATTTGTGGATGAAATCTAATTCCAATCCCTCTCTGTGTATTTGGTTTGTAGAATTGGTTTGTGACAAGACAACCACCTGGAGATCTTTTAAAGAGTGATTAGAGAGACTGAAGTGTTCTCCAACAGGTTTCTGTATGTTCCCTTTATGTATATCTGATTTCTGTCCATTGATTCTTTCCCGTAGGGACTGTGCAGTTTGTCCAATATATATAGCAGTTGGGCATTGCTGGCATTTGATGGCATAGTTCAAATTACTGGATGTGCAGTTAAATGAGCCTTTGATTTGGTAGCTTATGTTGTTGGCTCCAGTGATGAATTCGCTTGTATAGATATGTGGGCAGAGTTGGCACCGTTGTTGATTGCAGGGCGGGGTTCCTGGATGCTTATGATGTGGTTGTGTAGCATGGTGTCACATTATTGGATTCTAAAGATCACTGTTGCACCCATGGGGAGGGGGGTGTCTGCCCCAAAAGTTTGTACTAATGGGGTCATGTGAGGTATCACATGAAATGTTATGTTCTCCTGATTCTGTATATGCTATTCATGTACTTGTATAATGTCTGTATGTGAAGTTATAATTGTGTACTCTGTGTTGATGCTGGAAGGTTCTCTGTCTGAGGCAGAGCAATGGGCAAAGAATGTTCAGCTAGTGGCTATGCTAATTATTGGCTCCAGAGACAATAGATCTCTAAGTGCCAGAAACACTCCTGAGGAATGTCTGGATACCTGCAAGCCAGCCAGAATAATGGTTACTGACTTGGGACACAAGGATAGGTCACTGGACCATGTGGCCTGCTCTGGCCAGGAAGATGCCAGGGGAGGTATATAAGTGCATGTGACACCCTCCATCTTGTCTTGAGTTCAGCTCCTGATCCCAGATTCAACCTTGCAGAGAACAACAAGCTGTGAAGAATCGTGGGCCCATCTGACCTAGGATGTACACCAGAGACTTTTAAGATAGCAGTTTATGACATCTCTGCTAAAAGCCTGTATCAAGAACTGGGTGATTCGATGCATGTAATGTATTTTCTTTAACAACCTTACTCTCATGCTTTTTCTTCTTTTAGTATAAACCTTTAGATTTTAGATTCTAAAGGATTGGCTCAGCATGATCTTGTGGGTAAGATCCAGAGTATAAATTGACCTGGGAACTGTGGCTGGTTACTTGGGACCGGAAGAACCGATTTGGGGAAAGTGAGATTGGGTTCTATAACCCCCCACCTGTGTGTTAGGCCCAGGGCTGACTGGGGCACAGGAAGAGCTGGGGTGTCAGATTGGGGCACAGGAAGAGCTGGGGTGTCATAGCCTGGTGAGGCTTCTTGCTGGCCAGATTGGCAGCTGAAGTGCTCTGTGTGACTGGTTTGTGGCCTATTTGGGAAGGGCCTCCAGTCAGGGGCTATAAGGAGCCCCGAGTTTGAGCAATTCACCCTGAGCGGACACTCCCAGCTCTGCTTAGACCCGACCTGGTCCGTCACAGTCAGGGCTGCTTACAGCCCCAGACTGGAGACCTTCCAAACAGGTCACAAACCAGTCACACCGAGCGCTTCAGCTGTCGATCTGGCCAGTGAGAAGCCTCATGAGTGAAACCCCTCTGACACCCCAGCTCTTCCTGTGCCCCAATCAGCCTCGAGTTTTGAGCAATTCGCCCTGAACGGATGCCCTCAGCTGCACTCAGACCCGGCCCAGTCCGTCACACGTGGTGACCAGAAAGATTCAAGTTGGGGGGTTGTCTGTAAGCGAGAATAGCACCTTCCATTCCCCTGGCTTCTATCAAGTCCCTTCTTATTAGTGAGGTGCAAGCAGGTGCCCTGAGGTGTGCTCTAGCAACATGCATTGGGTACAGCCCCACTTAAGATCTCCATACATCCTGCTTCTCACTCAGGTGCCATTGCTTTCAATGGTCTCCACATCTGCCAGTTATGTGCCAGATTTGTCCACAGGGACCAATCAGTTCTTATTTAATCAAATCCACATTGCTTCCAATCTGAATATTGCATTAATTAGGTCTGGGTCTTGTAACTTTGAATTTATATAGTAATGACTTCATGCCCTGGTGCTTATTCACAAAGAGTGCATCAGATCCACAACCCTTATAGTTCAAAAAATATTTAATCTCTGTCTCCCAACAGTTCTGCCTCAGTGACCCATGGCTCTAGGAAATGAAAAGTTGTTTTTCTCTGTTAAGTAAGGTCCCATGGGAATCAAGACTAGGCGAAAAACAACTGAGGAGAGTTGGCAGTTATTCAAAGGGACATAGTTAAGGGCCCAAAAGCAAGCCATTCCTCTGCGTAGGAAAGATAGAAAATATGGCAAAAAACTTCCTTGGCTTAACCACAAGATTTTGTATGATCTAAAAATAAAAAAGAGTCATATAAAAAATGGAAACTAGGACAAATTACAAAGGATGAATATAGGCAAACAACACAGGAATGCAGGGGCAAGATTAGAAAGGCAGAGGAACAAAATGAGCTCAAACTAGCTATAGGAATAAAGGGAAACAAGAAGACTTTTTATAAATACAATACCAAGGACAGGGGAGGCCCACTGCTCAGTGAGGAGGGGGAAACAGTAACCGGAAACGTGGAAATGGCAGAGTTGCTTAGTGACTTCTTTGTTTTGGTCTTCACCGAGAAGTCTGATGAAGGAATGCCTAACATAGTGAATGCTAGTGGGAAGGGAGTAGGTTTAGAAGATAAAATAAAAAAAAGAAGAAGTTAAAAATTACTTAGAAAAGTTAGATGCCTGCAAGTCACCAGGGCCTGATGAAATGCATCCTAGAATACTCAAGGAGCTGATAGAGGAGGTATCTGAGCCTCTAGCTATCATCTTTGGAAAATCATGGGAGACAGGAAAGATTCCAGAAGACTGGAAAAGGGCAAATATAGTGTCCATCTGTAAAAAGGGAAATAAGAACAACCCAGAAAACTACAGACCAGTTAGTTTAACTTCTGTGCCAAGGAAGATAATGAAGCCAGTAATTAAGAAAATCATCTGCAAAGCACTTGGAAGGTGGTAAGGTGGAAGGGAACAGCCAGCATGGATTTGTAAAGAACAAATCATATCAAACTAATCTGATAGCTTTCTTTGATAGGATAACAAGTCTTGTGGATAAGGGAGAAGCGGTGGATGTGGTATACCTAGACTTTAGTAAGGCATTTGATACGGTCTCGCATGATATTCTTATCAATAAACTAGGCAAATGCAACTTACATGGGACTACCATAAGGTGGGTGCATAACTGGCTGGATAACCATATTCAGAGAGTAGTTATTAATGGTTCTCAATCCTGCTGGAAAGGTATAACAAGTGGGGTTCCGCAGGGGTCTGTTTTGGGACCGGCTCTCTTCAATATCTTCATCAACGATTTAGATATTGGCATAGAAAGTACGCTTAATAAGTTTGCAGATGATACCAAGCTGGGAGGGGTTGCAACTGCTTTGGAGGATAGGGTCATAATTCAAAATGATCTGGACAAATTGGAGAAATGGTCTGAAGTAAACAGGATTACAGAATGGGAACCGACTGTCTAGGAAGGAGCACGGCAGAAAGGGATCTAGGGGTTATAGTGGACCACAAGCTGAATATGAGTGAGCAGTGTAATGCTGTTGCAAATAAAGCAAACATGATTCTGGGATGTATTAATAGGTGTGTTGTGAGCAAGACACGAGAAGTCATTGTTCCGCTCTACTCTGTGCTGGTTAGGCCTCAATTGGAGTATTGTCTCCAGTTCTGGGCACCGCATTTCAAGAAAGATGTGGAGAAATTGGAGAGGGTCCAGAGAAGAGCAACTAGAATGATTAAAGGTCTAGAGAATATGACCTATGAGGGAACACTGAAGTAATTGGGTTTGTTTAGTTTAGAAAAGAGAAGATTGAGGGGGGACAGGATAGCAGTTTTCAGGTATCTAAAAGGGTGTCATAAGGAGGAGGGAGAAAACGTGTTCATCTTGGCCTCTGGGGATAGACCAAGAAGCAATGGGCTTAAACTGCAGCAAAGGGGGGTTAGGTTGGACGTTAAGAAAACATTCCTAACTGTCAGGGTCGTCAAAGACTGGAATAAATTGCCCAGGGAGGTTGTGGAATCTCCATCTCTGGAGATATTTAAGAGTAGGTTAGATAAATGTCTATCAGGGATGGTCTAGACAGTATTTGGTCCTGCCATAAGGGCAGGGGACTGGACTCGATGACCTCTCGAGGTCCCTTCCAGTCCTAGTATTCTATGATTCTGTTGAGAGCTGCTTTTCATTTCTGGCACCATTTCTATGGTTGAAAAGTGAATGTTTCCACCTCATTGTGAAAACAATAACAGTGACACTCCTGCCTAAGAGCTGCATTTACTAAATTTCAGGTTAGGTGCAAAATATGTCATTTGTTTGAGAAGCAATTATTTCATGAATATATGCTCACCTTTCAGCATTGGCCTCACTCTGCTTTATACTAAAAGTAGCAAATACAAAGGTATTTTGAATGTTATAGGGAAAAGATATCTCAACTATGTCCAGTATCATTCTCCAAAAGGATTGTCTAACCTTCACCTTCCATGAAGCATTGGCCTCCTTTATTCTTTTAAAAAGTTTTTACTGATTTTGTTTTCTAAACAGAAAATTCAAAGTTGAGAGAACCATTATACAATAATACATACTTATGACCAAGGTATTACATGTTGAATCTTGGTTCTGTTGAATGCACTGTTGAAAACTGCCATCTGGTTGGAAATGTTTATTGTGTATAAAGTACCTGTGATAATTGTCAGTGTTTCTAGTATAAATAATGTTCTTGGGGCGTGAGTCCTTGAAGTCAAATCCTGCTCCCCTGATTCCCTAATGGATGAGGCCGCAAACACTGCGGGGAGCATGAAAAACACCAAAGTCCCTTTTACATCACAGAACAGTGTTCTATGGCTAATCTGTGTGGGCCTGTGGAGAGGAATTTATGGGCTGTGTATCACAGATCCACGGACCTAAAGCCTTACATGTGTGGGATAAGAGGCTTTACATCACAGCCCACATGTGCTGTAGTATGGAGGAGAACTGGGCCGTACTTAAAGCCTTTGGACTGCAGCTTTGGACAGAGAGTTCTGGATTTGTCCCTGAGCTGTATACGTCTACTTATTAATTGCAGGTGAAATCTACTTGTGAAATCTTACTTTGTTGACTATCTCCCATGTTAGGAATTCTCAGGTTCCAAAGTCAGAGTTCATCCATGACAGTCATTTTAAAAATGTGGCAGTCAGACTTTATCTCTGATTGATATTAAAGTCCATAGGCCAAATGAGTTACTCGTTAGGTAGTAATAGAGTCACATGGGCTGAAAGAAAAGGCTGGGATTTAAAGGTTAACTTACCTGTCTGAATGCGTATGTGTGTGAAATTGCAGAGTTGATAGAGAAATAGTCCCAGGCTTTTTCTGCACCCCAATCTTTACATCATAAAACAAAATAAACATCATAAGGGTTAAAATTTCTTGCCCCATTATTATCTGAAATGACAAAACCTACAAACTGGAAAATACAAGTTTCCTAGTTTAACCACCTTTTCTCCGGCAGCATTTCTGACTCCCAAAAGTTTTGTTTAGAAAGGGGGAAACATTACAGCTATGGTGTAGTCTTACTAATAGTAATATGGTACCATTTTCTTAACACATTTATCACTGTCTGATCAAATTTTAATATTTAAAACATTCTTAATAGAATCAGTTGTATTAATAACTGATGTGGATTCCCCACAAACTGGCAGATTTCTTCAATTCATTACAGAGAACCAAAACAATTTCAAAGATAAAACCATTCTGAGGTCTCCAAAACTGCAAATCTCAGTTTTGTCAAAGCAACTCTTTGTGAAAAATCTCATTTGCCACTGAAGATGCAATAATGTATGTTACAATTCGTGATCAGATTATATATTTACACAAACATATATACACACCTCTATTACAGTGAATACCCATATAAAATGACATTATCTATGTATCTTACATGAATAATCTGTGTCCTTTCTTTACTGGGTGGGGTTTCTCTGAAGGTCTACCATTCGCATCCTGACTCAGCCATTGCCTGCTGAATTTTTAAGATAAGTGAAAAAAAGTAAACATCAAAATGTTTAGCATTGAAAATGGTTTCACCTCATAAGGCTGCAGACAATACTTTTCAAACACTAAAACATTGGCCGTCTGTGGTTTTTTTGGACTGACAAAACAGAAAAAATAGATTTTTAAAAAGAAACTACCGCTGTTAGAAGAAAAAAGCTAGCACTGAGTTCCTGTTTTGGGAGCACAACTGTTCAAAGGAGATAAAAATAAGACAACCCATTGTTGACCTCACACCAGTATAAATAGGGAGTACCTGCACTGATGTCAGTAGAGTTAACCAGTATAAAACTTGTGTATGGGAGATTATGATCTCACCCAGAGTTTGAAAAGCAGAACAAACAACTGAGTAAAAGTAAATGTATATCTTGTGCTAGCTGCACATTTCCTTTGAAAAAGCTAATGATAACAAAAGAACAAGCTGATCCCTTTGTCTTATGGATGTAGCCAATTATGATCGTCAATGTTCTTAAACATCTCAGTAAATAAGTTACAATTTTCTGAACATTGCATTTTAAAACTATCATTTTGACTATCACTAAATCTGCACTTCTCTCTTTCTGCACTGAAATAGAAAACTCAGATGGCTGGAGGGGAGAGTGAACTGAGACTGACCTCCACCATCACTAACACTATGAGGCATATCTCTTACTTCCCTCTGTAAACAATTTAAACTGCAATCCGAAACCTGGAATCTCTTCAGTCTAAACTGTTATTGAGGGTTTTACAAAATAAATATTTCCTGTTACTTAACAGCATATTTCTGGTTTGCAGTAGGCAGTGGTGCCAGCAAACAAAGGACGGGGGAGGAAAGGCAATTCAGCTGAGGAGGGCCTCTCCACTTGTCCCCAATGTGACTCCACATTGCCCAGGACCCCTACTCTCTTCCCCCATCACATTTTACCAGGAAGGGGCAGAGCTGGGGGGCAGTATAGCAGTTGCTGACAGTTCTCCTCCTTTCCCTCCTGTCCCTCCTAGTCCCTGCCCCTTGACAGAGCTGCCACCCCTGTGTACAGGACTGGAAGTTCTCCTCATTTCCCAACTGAGAGGCAGTGGGGAAAGGAGCAGAACCCCCAACCCCAGCCCTGTACACAGACACAGCGGCTCCTACTGGGCTGCCATAGCACTACCTGTTCCACCTCCAGACCCCAGCCCTGGACAGTGCACATAGAGACTCTCCAGCCAGTGGAGGGGCTGTGGATGGCCAGCCGGGAGTCTCTGGTACACTGTACTGGCTAAGAATAACTTGTCAGTATGGCATGTGACAGATCGGATCACAGAGATCCTCCCTTGAGACTGTCATCCAATTGGCCAGTCATGCCACTGTGCCCACATATCTGCCCTCCAGGCACCCCTACTGCCCTGTCCTGCTGACCCAGTGCAATTTAGAGCAGCTTCAGTGCTGATGGTCTCAGTGGTTGTTGCTACCCTGAGGAATAGCCAGAGCTCTGTGGCACATCAGCCACATCCTCTTTTCCCCAACCACGTCCACCTCCCTGGATGTAGGCAGGATGGCATAGAGATGTCTCCCCACCCCATGCAGGGATTCCCTATATTAGGAGAACTCCTTAGTGGCCGAACCACCGGCTTGATAGCCCCATTGTGCTGATGGCATACGTGTAAAAAAGCTCAATGATTAATTGTGCCCAATATCGTACATAGTTAGTATTTGCTTGTGTGTATGATGTTACGGGCTTCCTAGTAAACTAGGCAGCATGGTAGAGCTGAGAGTGATGTATGTATGGTTCTTGCAAGGTTGGCTGCTCTGCTGAGAAAAACTCCTTTGTCTCTTTTAGGGCATGAAGAAAAGCTGAGCATAACTGGAAGGATGCTCCAGACAGAAGCTTTGAATGTGGGGGAGAGAAGCAGGCTGGGATGGGGCACAGAAGAAAGAATCTAAAGAACATTGAGAAACAAAGTAACATAAACAAACTGTAGGAAAGAAAATTGTTTCTATAAAATTAAAGGAGAGGGTGTAGAATAGTAGCTAAAGCAAGCGCACACAAGAGAGATGAGAGTTTATAATGGGGTGGTATCCCAGTGAGTGTACATGTGCTCATCGTTTTTTGTCTGCTCACAGTGCGCCTTGCTGCTGTGAGCAGGCTGGTCTTTGGTGACTTAGTCCCCCAACCTAGTTACACACAGGCATGTGCAAAACAGACAAAATAAACCCTTTCTGGGGTATACTGGGGTATACTGTCTAACTGGGCCTATCTCGAACCTAAATAATAGTCTTTCACAGTCCAGCAGGGGCCATCAAGATCTCCTGCCTTTGGCAACATCTCCCAGGCTCTTGTCCTCAGTATAGCCAACAGGGCTTATCTCAGCATCCTTATGGGCCAGATTATATGCAAAAATTCCTGCTCTGGGCTGGAGCAACACCCCCAGGACTTCCTCAGTGAGGAGTCTTCACCTGTCTTATAGCTCTCTCGCCCTGATTCTCCAGCTGGGTCAGTCTCAGTTCAGCACCCTTCTGCATTGGGGTCCAAAGAGAGCGGTAACATTACCACAGATAGTCCTTTCTCTAGACCTGCCTAAATCCCCTTTTCTCAGGGCCTACCCACTTCCCCAGGAGCTGTTCGGGGGGAACACAGGCAAGCCCATTACTTTTAACTGCATTTTTCAGGGCTACTTTCCCACAGCCTTTACTTTTCAAATCCCAGCAGCCAGCAGGGGAACCTTCCTTGCTCCACCAGTCTCCACTAGCAGCGGCTCTACCCAGACTTTCAGCTCCTGCAGCCAGCCAGGAACACCAATTGCTCCCTCTGTCCCTGCAGCTCCTTTTATGGAAACCTGCCGGACCCTGTTTAGCTGCTCCCTGTGGCCCCTTTCCTGAGTGGCTGCATCCCACACAGCTGCTCTAGGAAGCTTAGAGAGCCCTCTCCATTGTCTTTTCTGGGGCGGAATATGGCAGGGCTATGAGACCGCTAGCAGGAGGCCTCAAGGGTAAATCCACTCCATCACATGGTTCTAAAGGAATTCAGTAAAGAAATCAGGCATGTTTAAAAAGAGCTCACCATAGATTGTTAAAAATTGATTAGCTACCAATAGACACGTACCATATGTGATGTTCCAAACAACAGTAAGGAACATTTTTTGGCGGAGGATAGGGAGTTTTGTGGGGGATGACAGCTTGGTGGCTTGTGATTTCTGGACGTACAGTAAAACTCCAATGGTCTGGTATCTGACAGTCAGGCACTCCTGATGGTCCGGCACCATCAGGAACCCGGAAGTGCTCCGCAGCCGGACCATTGGAGCTGCTCTGCCCCCAGCTTCCCCTATTCAGCCGCTGCTAAAACTGACCAACG